AGGACGCGGGGGTTTTCTGTTCCCTCGGCCCCTGGTCAGAGGTGACAGCTGCCGCACGCCTGCTCGGCTCCGCTGCCGGAGAGGTCCCTGGAAACGAGCAGAGTTAGCGTCAGCGGCTTTCCTAAGAGTTTTTCTGACCCAGATCAGTTTGGCAGAGGAGCAGTTGTTTGTGTCACTTTGTTGGCCGATCTCGGGGAAAGGTGACGGGTGGGGTAGTAATCTTTTGACGCGTATAGTCAGAATGATGTGTTTGATTGTAGGCCGAGATTTATGTAGCTGCTTTTTTTCTTTCTTTCTTTTTTCCCCACGTTCAACTGTGGTGTTAATTTGAGATTTATGAATATGCCAAATCCTTGAAGGACATTTATTCAAAAGTTACAATTAGCTGGTTAGTTTTATAATAATAATTCTGTGGAACTTGTCATATTTTAGTGTTTTACAGGGTCTAACTGTGGTCGGTTAAGTGTATGTCTATTTATTACAGGTATGTGGGCACATTCGATGACAGTTCAAGATTACCAGGATCTCATAGATAGAGGATGGCGAAGGTAAACTTAAAACAAGAATTAATCCACAAAGGCATGTTGTCAGTTTAGTTCAGTTAGAATCCAGATGTGAGTTATAGGTTTGCAAAACAGTTAAGTAGCTTCCGTAAAAGATGGAAGGCAGTAGGGAGCATTTTCTAGAAATGTTGCACTAAGTATAAGGAAAAATAAGTGAAGAATTTTCAACAGATATTGGTCCTATGCTCTTAAGACTTTGTGACACTGTAGAACAGGGGGAAAAAGGATTCTTCTTGTTCGACCTGATATAAAAATGATAATGATAATCAAGATCACGTGAAAATTGAAACTTTCATCAGTATGGGGTAAATATATTTGTGTAGCATATTGTATTTAAATTGACAATATTCCTTCAGAATATTCATTTATTAAAGCAAATACTGAACATAATGGACCATTTCTTTTTAGTAACGTTTGGAGCGCTACGTAACTCCAAGAACAAAAGTAATACTTCAAAAATACTCACTAAACTCAGTCTGCCAACTTTATATCTCATGCTTTAAAACAAACAAAGGGATAAATTTCTTGCGCTAACCGTTCAGTATTGCTTTTAAGTTCAACCATTGCTGAGGCTGAGTGATTTAAGTACGGATGTGGATGCCTAGGTATTTTGAAAGTCTTGAATGTTCTAGGACACTTTGAGGCACTGTCTGCACCTCGAATGCAGGTTATTTTCAGAAGCTGCAAATACAAGAGCTGAGCAACTCAAAAAATCTCTTTTACAGTGTCCTGTTCCTTTTTTTCACTGTCTAGCAACTCCTGCGCAGCGGAACAAATGTCTCTTCTAACAAGGAAAAACACTTCTAAAGTCACTAAATTGTAAATGCATCTGAATGTTCTTTTAGACATGCTACCTAAACAAATTGCAGCAAGGCAAGATGATCTTTAAAGGTGCCTTCTAACCTCAGCTGTGCTGTGACTCTGTGAAGGCAAGCAAACAGAGAGAGCAAATTAAAGCGGTGCTGGGGTAACAGGTATCTCTTGGCCATCTTCTACAGCCCTGAGGGTTGTTCACTAGATGCAAATTTGAGAGAGACATTTACCTCATCCTCCTCTTTAATGCTGAGATTCTTGGAAATATTACAGCTGAATATGTTTGGAAACTTTTATTTCAGATTCTGTTCAGCAAGGATCTGATACATTTTGAAATTCATATTTTTGGGTCAGAATCTTTTTTTTTTTTCCTCTCCATCTGCTGTCCTGCTCTGAGTCTTTTGACTGCACGAGCTGCTTCCTAAGCCTCTGTTTTTGGGAAATGGTGATGAATGTTTTGTCCTGGGTGTTAAAGCCTATCCCTGCAGCTGTTCCCAGCTCTGCCAAGCAGGAGACAAAAGTGTGTGGTGGGGATTCTTGTCAGATGCTTTGCAGTTAGCTTCTGGGCAAGAAAGTGGACTTCTAGGCAAGAGTCCTGCTGGAGAATCCAAAATATCTTTCTGATGCAAAAAAACTTACTAGACAGTATTTTTTTCTTAGTTGTATTTTCTGACTAAATTCTGTTAAGTATTATTTGGTTATTTTAAGTTTGGAAATATAGTATTTTAGTATAGCAGCAAAAAGCTGAGGAACTTGCTTCTTGACTTTTGTTACTCTTCATGTAAGATACTGGTATTTTAAAGAAACTTTTTTCCCCTTTTATTTTGAAGTCAATATATCTTTTAACCTTTACTTATTATTTTTAGAAGTGGAAAATATGTCTACAAACCCATCATGAATCAAACATGTTGTCCTCAATATACAATAAGGTAAGAGACCCTGAATGTTATTGCTGTAATTGATTTAACTGCTTCAGATGTGTCCAACTGTAAATTGTCTTTTTTTGCTTTAAATGCATGAGACTTGAAAGGTTGATCTACTTGTAATGATACTTTGAACACTACAAGTTCCTTACATTTTTCTGAAATAATCCTTCTCCAAAGAAATAAATGTATAAAATAATTCTTTCTTATTTTTAAGATGCCAAGCTTTGCATTTTCAGACCTCCAAATCTCACAAGAAAGTTCTGAAAAAAATGCTGAAATTTATTTCTAAAGGAGATATTTCAAAAGTGATGGGTGGAGGTAAGAAATTCTTGATGTTTGAAAGTCAAGACTAATGTTTGAAATGAGGATCAAGTTTCTGTGTTGACTGAGTAGCTAATGCACTTCTACGTTTGTATGCAGACCCCTTTGTAAGGAGTTGGCTAGGTTGTATCTTTGCAGTCTGTTTTGGATCAAGGGTAGGCACCATGTAGCCCAGAGAACAAATTGTGGTAGCTGATCTCCTGCTGTTTTCTTCCTCTGTTGAGGAATTAGTTGCCTTGCTCTTTGCACAGACCAGCTTATTTTCTTTTCCATCCCTGGCCATAGTCGTGTTTTCTAGCCAGGTGCCTCAGAGAAACAGACCCTGATTTTTACCTCTGATATAAGAGTAATAATCTGGACAGGACTGAGCAGGAGAGTGGGTGGCAAAGAAAAGGAAGAGCAAGCAGGGAAAGGAGGGTTTTTCTTCCAGGTGACTGAACAGTCGCATTCTGTTTATCCCCCCCCCCCCCCCGCTAAAACCAAGACTAGCTAGTCTGGGTTCTCTAGGTTGCAGTGGTACGTTCATTCTGCAACGTTATACTTTGACTTTTTATTTATTTGTTTTTATTTTTTTGTGTCACAAGATTAATGGCGACTGTCTTGTTTTAGTGGAATGAATAAAACTGCTCTTATGTGTGGGTTGGAACTAGTAAATCAGTGTCATAAAGGAAGCTTTCTGTTTTCAGACTGGGAAGATGTTGGAAACAATCACTATCTGTTGAAAAACAGTTGTAAAATATTTAATATTAACATTAATTGTGCGAAGCGTGAGCAGTCATTATGCAGAGGGAAATTCACTTATGTAGTTCTTGCCATTATTACTTACAGAAGAGCCCATGGATTCCCATATAGAGGAGGTTGTCGCGTGCAGTCATGAATACAGAAGTGAATCTCACGTCAGTCAGGCTGAATTGACTCCCTTGAGCGTGGACCACGCAGAGGGAGTGGAGGCCGAAGACAAGGACAAAGAACAAATGAAAGAAGAGGTGAATGTGAAGAAAATGGAATCAGGTTCTCTTCAGATCCACGTAGCTAAAGACACACCAGTCCCTGGAGAACCATCACATTCGACTAAAATTGTTCATGCCTTGCCCAAGCCAGGTATTCAAATTTCCTACAGTAATTGGAATATTTTATCGCTGTTTCACATGTTGTTTAAGTTCTTCCTTTATCTTGTCTAGTAAATCAAGAGTTATTCCTTTTTATTCCACATACTCTCGACAATTTTTGGAATGACAATGTATAAATTGAGAAGTGCTGCGTGTTATTGTCTTCCTAAAAGTGTCATTGTGTTCATTTTATTCAATTTTATAGTTCAGTTATTGAGAACATATATCTGCACATGATAGTCTTCTGTACCTCTGTAAAATGTTTAGGTTGTAGCCGAATAGGTCAAGGTAGTCCAACCTCATGAGACATTGGAACCAGTTTCCAGATTTGGGTACCTCCGTGTGTGGAATAGGGTGTTTTTTTCAGCTCTTTCCTTTACTCTGTGCGGATATGATGACTCCGGCTTTACGTAGCTTGAGGTAGGTTTGTGGCAGGCAGTGAATTTGGCTGTTAGGTGAGCGTGCATTGACTGACCGGTTTTTTCCCACTTCCGGAGTGGTAAAGGAGGTAGGCCTCTCGGGGACTGCGTGCAGCTGTGGCCAGTGCCAGCAGGAGTGCTGGCTGTTGGGGTTAGGTTAATGCTTAACCTTGTCTCTTGTGCAGCATTAGGAAACCAAATTCAGGTCTAAGAAGAAGGTCTTAAGTGTTGTTTTCACGTTATTTCATTTCTGCAGGTTGTCTTATTCTACAGATTGCTGTTTATCTTATTAATACCCATCTATAAATTATTTATGTAAGGCTGTATTTTTTTAATGCTGTCGTAGACTTATGCCACAGATCTATCTGGCATTGGAAATATGTTCAGTATATTTCTGTAATTTCATTTTTTGTGCTTAGAGGAAATATAGCTTTCTGTTAATAGAAAAAGATTAGATACTTCTACACTCTTCTATAAGGAATGACTTTTTTTATCTGTTTCAGAGCTTGTTTGCAGTATCACTAAAACATGTGAAATTTTGAAAAACTATGGTATTTTCTAATGTTTTTACCTATGAATTTAATACTGCATTTCTCTAAGGAAGAAAAATAAGGCAGTCTAACTCATTTTACTTTCTGATGCATTTGTACAAAGATATGACTCTTTAGCATGCCAAGAAGTGAAAATAAGTGTTTACAAATTTCAAGAGTTTTGTTTGAAATTAAGTGGAATACTGGAGGTATTTTTAGCATTTAATAGTATGGTAAATTACTCTTTTTACTACAGAAATTATCTTTCAGTCAAGCCTTTGCGTCATATTTGCAAAGGTTTCCAAAATGCTTCTCTCTTTGGGCTGAGTTTGCACATGAAACGATTACCTTAAAAAAAGGATTATCTCATCATCAGTCATCTGATTGTAATCTGTTCTTGTGTGTATGATAGCTACTATGGTGCCCCTTATTGTGGCATGAGGGCCTGGGATCTACAGCTGATGACAGTTGCGTTAAGCTTTTCACATAGCTTGTTGGGGCAGGGAAGACCATATGTCACAGCTATTAGGTAATCCTCTTTGTGGCGTGATCGTATCTGTTGCACGTGCAGCAAACTTCCTGAGAGTCCCTGGGGAAAAAAAGAGATGCTGGCAACTGCTGCTGCCAGGATGCTCCTGCAGAATGCTGCCGGTTGCCTCTCTCCTTATGGCTGCATAGTTCTTCTGTGGCGTGTTGACTGTGTTCTTGTGGGACGGGGAGGGACTCTTTCTGGAAGAAAGAAGCTAAAAGGTCTAGATAGGTGTTGCCAGAATAATTCATTTAACCAGCAGCCTATACTGGAAAAGGAAGTGGAAAAATTACTCTGACAGGCTTATGGCCCAAGGGTTGCAGAGTAGGCAGCCTTCTTTTATGGGTTATGTTTTCAGTGATGCGTAGCATCCACAGTGGGCTTTTCAGAAAAACAGAGGATGCTTCCTAAACTGCAGTTAGCCAATACATGCTAAATAATGTTAGCTAGAATCCTTGTGAAGAGTGAGTACTTCAGCGTTTCTGCATACGTTGGCAGATCATACGAATTCCTAATTTCACTCAGCTATTAGACGTTATGCCAATATTTAGAACTTAAAAAGCCTTTGGCTTCTTCACGAGGATTTTTGTCTCCTCCTATAGTTTGGCTAATTCTAAGTAAAAGAACGTTTGTTTTTTCCTTGGGAACGCTGATCCCAATTGGATCAGCGTTTCACCAGTTTAACAAGCGGTTAAATGCTTAAGCCAAAAGGAAAGGTTTCAGAAACGCTCGGTCAGAAAACCAGCAGTAGTGCTACGTGGAAGCAGTACTGTTACGTGTTCCTGGAAAACTTGTCCAAAATTGTTAAAGACTATATTTTAAATCTTTATTTTTGAAATGCAGTTGATTTATGCTAGAACTTTTATGTACCTGTTGCAGAAATTTTCAGAATCCTCTTCTTTTTAAAATAAATGACAGTGAAACTTTGGGTTATTTAGACTTCATTTTGGAAACCAGACTAAGTGGAAATTGACAGCAGGTGGCAGTCTTGAGTAAAGAGTGTTAGTGTAAACCTGCCATTATTTTGAAAAAGGCAAGGTATGGTCTTCAATTATGTTAGGAATAACATTGTGGAAAACTTTAAACACAGGGAAAGCAGGTAAAGGAAGTTTGAAACATTTTTTGTATTTAGTTTTTCAAAAAAAGGGGGAAGAAGAGAAATATTCATTACTGTATTTTTTTTTCTTTCTGGTGGTTTTACAGGAAATATAAAAGTGAATAATAAATGCATCAGAAAGCTTGCTTAATTTTTTTTTTTTTTTTTTTTTAGAGTAGGTGGTGTCATAGGTCAAACTTAGTTCAAAATTTTCCAGAAAGATGTTTAGTTTTCATCTTGGAAAATGTAGACGTATTCCATAATAAGATTGTTTAATTGCATTTTTATTCTTATATAAACAAAACAGGTCATTGTCCTATAGGAATAATGGGCTGTTCCTGCACAGTTTCAGATAGAGAAGAAAGTTTGCTTATGTCTGTATGCACACTCATTGTTTTAAGTTTTCCTTGCTAAATTCTATAGCTTATAGAAGATATGAGACAAGAAACAGATCCTGAGCCAGATGAAGTACTCAACCATTCTTCAAATGCATCATGAGTATTTTAAATAAACTCTTCCACTGACTTGTTTGCCCATGGACCGGTCACATAAAGTCTGTAATTTCCTCATAATACTTCTCTTTTTCTGGGGAATACTTTTAGCTGTGCGGATGAAACAAATACTCAAAAATCTTCGTTGAGAGGCAAGGACACTCAATCGTAAAATCTGCTAGTGCAGTTGTATGAAGTGTGGAGAATGCAGAAGTGATATTAGCTCCTTTTCCAAGTCCCTGAGATGCTCTCAGAGTTTCAGTTTGTCATGGGGTCTGCCTGGAGCAACCAGGCTGGGACTTTTCTGGGTGAGCCACGAAGACCTTGCTGCTGACTTGCCTCAGGAGTGCACTTGTCTGTTCTGAGAGCTTCCTGTGGCTCACACACTGGAAGTCCTTGACTGAGCAACAACAAACATTGGTAAAAACATATGCCACAGTTTGGGGGAAGCACTTATGCACACGCTTATTCTTTTTGTTATATTTCAGATCTGTTGCTCTTATTTTTTCTCTTACTGTGGTATCTCCATCTCCAAAAGGAGATCTTAATGTTTCAGTGCAGTTGTGGCAGCATCACTGTGGAAAGCTTGCTTTTGCTCTGAGTTCTGTGCGGCTGATACTGCACTTTGGATAATGGTGCTTACGTGTTCTGGGACCAGAATCCTTTTGCTAAGTCTCCTTTTGGGCTTCCCAAATCACTAATTCTTGATTCACTGGACTTGTGGGCATGACACGGCTGAGTTTAGTGTGCTTTTTCCTAAGAAGTAATTGCAGGATGCTAAGACTTAATTTTCACTGGCTTACGTCAGATCTTGTAAGGTTGCAAGTTAAGACCCTGCTTCCCTTCCTCCAGCTATCGTTACTATAAGTTTGTTCTTGTAAAGCTGTTACTGACACAGGAAAATTGATTTCAATATAAACCACGTGCAAAGTATTTTGACAGCTTCTACAGTATACCTGTTGGTACACAAAGATGCAGGCAGCAGCTGTGGATTCTGTTCAATTCTTTGCAAGCAAAGTGCATCCAAAACCAACAAGCGTTTAAAATATCAACACTTGCACCATTTCCAGTTTGCAGAAGTATACCAATATTCCCTTTGTCAACAGGGAAGGTTTGAAATGGGCAGAGGATGAGAAAGATGTCACTTTTGGCTATTGAGTTACTGGTAAGAGGAGGGAGAAGGAAAGAAAACTCTAATCACGTTTTCCTAGAAGTTCTGTGATAAATAATTTTCATGTCATTTCCAGGCCTCAAAGAGAATAAAGTGGGATAAGCCATAGTTAAGTCTGGGTTTAGATTATCCTTTATTTCTTATAAATATTAGCAGAGTTAAAATGCGTCGTCTTTCTAATGCTTGAAATAAAAGTACTTCACCATCCAGGGTACTTACTTTCCCATTTAAAAAGGTAAATCTTTCAGGAGTTGCCAGTGTGAGTCTCTTGCAAATACACAGATTTCAGGAGAACACTAATGGCATAAAAGACTTCTTCAGCAGTTTGTCATAATATTTGTTACAATTTCTTTGTTCTGTACTCCCACACAGGGAAATACAGTCATATATCTTGTAGTCTTTTTTCCACTCTCTTCCTGTCCTTTCTCAGTCCTTAATATTATGGTGCTTTTTTGGCCTGCAACTCATGCACCACTGCTTCTAAAAGAGAGGGAGAGAGAAAAAAAGCAGAATTGGAATTACTTTATATTATATTAGCTGGTTTGTGTTGTAATTTTGAATGTAACTTTCCCTCTGCTGAGAGCGACTCTCCCTGTGTTGAACGTAACTTTCAGCAGCAACTGCTAGGCTTTTGACTGGTACTCCTTGGAAATCGGTCGTTTCTTCCACCACTGTTTCTAGCGGTGCAACAGAGATTCATACAGCTTTTACTCAACTTTAAAGTGAAGTATGTTCAGCTACTTGTGTGTGCGACTTAGAATAGTTAATAACAGTGTGCAAAGTTTAAGGAAAGACAAAAGGCAGAACTGGGAGCACTAGCAAAATGTTTCTTTTCATGTTGTTTGTGACTTTTTTTTTTTTTTAACAAGTCTGATA